GAAATACAGACAATATAGGAACATATCATGAGCCACAATCTGCCAACGAATTAGGCAACCTGGAAGAAATAGATAAATTCCTAGAGACATATAAACTACCAAAGCTGAAACAGGAAGAAATAGAAAACCTGAATAGATCCATAACCAGCAAGGAAATGAAGAAATAATCAAAAATCCCCCCATAAAAAACAAGAGTCCAGGGTTGGATGGCTTCCCAGGGGAATTCCACCAAACATTTATTTTTTATTTTTTTATTTTTTTAATTTTTATTTATTTATGATAGTCACAGAGAGAGAGAGAGAAAGAGAGAGAGAGAGAGAGGCAGAGACATAGGCAGAGGGAGAAGCAGGCTCCATGCACCGGGAGCCCGATGTGGGATTCGATCCCGGGTCTCCAGGATCGCGCCCTGGGCCAAAGGCAGGCGCCAAACCACTGCGCCACCCAGGGATCCCTCCACCAAACATTTAAAGAAGAATTAATACCTATTATTCCGAAACCACTCCAAAAAACAGAGACGGAAGGAAAACTTCCAAAATCTTTCTACGAGGCCAGCATCACCTTGATCCCAAAACCAAAGACCCCGCCAAAATCTACTGACTCTACAAATCTAGTTTTCTAGATGGATGAAAATAAAATAAACTTAGAAAGTACATGAAACTTCAAACTATTGGAAGGCCACTGCAGTATCTCTGTCCCTCAACAAGCCTACGTTGACGATCGAACATTTGCAATAACTTGTGTCCTTAAAGTTATACTTGAGTAAAGGTAAAATGTCCGTGCGTCGGGGAACAAGGCTGTTTCCACTGAGATTTCCAGAGATCCAGGAGGTGGATCTGGAGCCGGAGGCTCCCACGGTGCCTACTGTTTGCCGAAAGCCCGTCTACACAGAGTGAAACCAAGCAGGACAAGCTAAGCTGAAAGACAGACAATTAGGGACCGAGATGGGCCCTGGATCCCACCGTGCCTAAAGCCGGCTGAATCCCTGAACTTTCCAGTAATCAAAGTCATAGACTCTCTCTTTTAATTTAATCTCCTTTTAGTTGCCTTGCTTTCACTTAAAACCAAATGTCCCGATTCGACATCGCCAAACCTGTCAACTTCCCCAAAGTCTTCTCAACGGAGGAAGACCATTTCCCTCTTTCTGCTAATGAAACCGTAACTGTCCCTACCATCCTGGCTCAACAGTACAAAATCCTCTATTTACTCGGTCAGCCGCTAAATCTCATCATTCTACCCTCTTATGGCTCGTCCTTCTGTCCGTACGGATATAATTTCCAGCTCTTTAACCCGGGTCTCTGTTTCCCTCACTTAGCAACAGCGTTCCTGAGCGAGGACACGTCCTCATGTGCGGTGCCCGCCCTGGTCCCCATCCGGGATGGAGGGTGGCTGCCCCCCACCTGCCGCCCGGCCCCCAGACCCAGTGGCTCCCGCCCGCCGGCCCCTCGCTCCCCTCATCGGCCCCGGTGTACCCCCACGGCCGTCCGTTCTCAGCTGCGCCCTCGTATTTCCCGACCCCCCGGATACCCCAAGGCAGCTGCCACAAAGTGTGTCCACCGTCCTTCGGCCCTGACCCCCGTGCCCCACATGCCCCGGGAAGGGCCTCCGCTCCGACATAGCTCGGAACACGATGCCATGACCACAAGACGTCGGCCCCCCTCGTCTCAGCTCAACACCCTCCTAGCCCTCAATCCCCCCCGCTCCGGGGAAGGGCCGCCCCCCCCTTTCCAAAGCCAGACCCTCTCCGAGGACATCAGCCTCAGCTCCGGCCCCCCGGGCTCCTTCCCTCCGCTGCGCAGGAGCCCGCAAACTTCCTCCGCCCGAACCTCAGCATCTCCTCACCAGCCAGCGTTGTCTGGGCGGTGACAATGTGGCAGGTGTCCCGTCCACCCCTTTACGTGATCTTGATGATGACCGTTGGTGCTTGGGGCAGCCCTCCCCGATCTTCACAGATTGAGAAACTGAGGCCAGTACCGGGAAGTCTGCCTCAGCCCACACGGCTCTCGACCTCCTTGTACAACTGGAGCTTTTCCAACAAGTGGCCTAAACTGAACTCTTTTCCCTCATTTCCTTCCGTCTTGTGCTGTGTTCGGGGCCGAGCCGTGCGCCGCCCCAGCAGCCAGAGGCTGGCAGCTGGACACCCCGGCATAGCGCTGCGCTCAGCGCATGGCCCCCCGTTCCTGAGCCGGGCCCGCTGCACACAGCCCCCCGTTCCCGAGCTGGGTCCCCCCTGCACACGGCCCCCCATTCTCGAGCTGGACCCCCTGCACACGGCCCCCCGTTCCCGAGCTGGGTCCCCCCTGCACATGGCCCCCCATTCCTGAGCTGGATCCCATGCATACGGCCTCCCGTTCCCGAGCCGGGCCCCCTTGCACATGGACCCCTGTTCCCAAGCCGGGTCCCCCCTGCACATGGATCCCTGTTCCCAAGCCGGGCCCCCTTGCACACAGACCCCCGTTCCCGAGCTGGGTCCCCCCTGCACACGGCCCCCCATTCCTGAGCCGAGCCCCCTCTGCACACGGCCCCCCTCTCCCGAGCCTCCTGAGCTTCTGCACCCAGAGGCGTCTCTGCGCCTTCGAAGCCGAGTTGCTCGTCCCCCCCGAGTTCACCCCCGGGTTCGCCCCCGGTGTGGACGCCGGCCCTCCGCCGCCCACCCCAGCAGCCCCGCTCCGGCTCGGAAGGCGCTTTGCGGTGGTGACGGGAGGGCCGACCGGTCCATCTCTCGGACCCGCGGCATGGAAGCTCCAGTCGTTTTTGACGAAGTCACAGAAAGAAAATGCCGGACTCCGGATCCCCGCCCCGAAACCGGGTCCCCAGGGATACCATTGTTTCGAGAATTACTCAGGAATAAAAATCCTGCCACTTGTTCTGCATTTGATAAGCTTATTTCTTTTTCCACTCAACGGCCTCCACTGTGTGAAAAGCCATAAAAATGAGGACCGGACACTGGCCACCTGCTGTGCTCGCAGCGCCCGCAAACGGCTCCGGTACAGAGAAGCACGGAGCACGACCCCCTCGGCCGCAGGAAGCCGCGGAGAGAGGAGGCAAGTGACTGTCGTACCAAAGGAAATGAACCCCAGACACAGCAGGCGAGCAGGGCCCCGGAGTCCACGGGCCGAGGTGCCACTACCGCAACACAAACACAGACAGGGCACATCCGGGGTGAGACGGAGGAGTTAGGGCCAGAGAGGAGAAACCGAGGGATCAAGGGCAGGGACGCGGCCCTCCTGAGCCTGAAGTGCCAGCCTCGGCCCCAAGAGGCAGGAGCCTGGAAGTCGCCACTCCTGTCCTTGCAACAACCAACGGGACAGACCAGACTGAAAACCAACAGCTGCCCCTGGACCTCCCAGGACCCTAAGGATGAACAGCAAGCCAGCACCCTAAGATTCGAGGGGACGGGGAACCCAAGGCCGCGTGGAGCCCAGGTCTGCTTACGTGGGGCGAAGATGCCCAGGTGGCCGTCTGGGAGGTTGGCAGGGGGCTTCAGGGTCAGGCGGGCGGGCGGGGGGCGCAGTGGGTGCCGGCCACCAACACACAGGAGCAGAGACAGAAGGGGAACCACTAAGGAATCACGACAGCGGTGGCTCGTGGTGACTGAGCGCTCCCCGTGCGGCGGGCCTGTCCGAAATGTTTACGCTTCTTTGGAGGTTTTGTTTTCTGATGATTTTATTTATCTGAGACAGAGTGAGAGAGTGAGAGCGAGCACGGGCGGGGCGGGGGCGGGGGGGCAGAGGGAGAAGCAGGCGCCCCGCTGAGCAGGGGGCCGGATGCGGGACCCCGAGATCATGCCTTAACCACTGAGCCCCCAGGCGCCGCCTGAATGTCTGCATTTCTTGAGTCTCCAGCAAACCCAGATTATTTTTCCCTCGCTGCTGTGACACATCACTACAGACCCTACATGACGCAGCGTAAACGTATCGGCCTGCAGCCCCGAGCTCGGGTCCAACCTGGGACCCACCAGGTAAACATCAGGGCGCAGGCAGAGCCGTTCCCAGGGCATTCCAGGAGGCCGTGTGCTTGTCCCCGGCGCGTGCGGCCCGCGGGGTCCCTGTCTCATGCCCCCCTACCCCGCCCCCATCCTCGCAGACGACCCCACAGGTCCCGGCCCGCCGTCCGGGTCACCAAGTCTTGCCCTCCCTACTTCCTGACTGTCTCCCAAAGCTGGGTTGGTTCAGACCCTTGTCCTATGTCATCCGGCGTCCCCATCCTCACTGCCTTCCCTCTTCCTCCGTCTCCAGCTCCTCCAAAGCATGACTGCTGCAGCTATTTCCTGGGGGAAAATCCAATCACAAGACTCCTCTGATTAAAAATTCTGCTTAAATTTAAAAAAAAAAAAAGCTCTGAAACAGATCATCCACGCCTGAGAAAGTCTAGATAGCCCGGGCCCATGCTCACCAGACCTTTCCTGTGGCCCCAGAAGCTCCCACCTCCCCCGGGAGCCCCAGGCCACGGCGAGGACATCAGCATGTGCTCAATAAATTAATAACTAAGGAAAAGCTCCAGAGGCCTGGAAGCACTCTGGCCCCACTTCTTGGCCCCCCTAGAGAAGCAGGGCCCAGGAATAAAGGGAAAGGACGAAAAATCTGACTGAGGCAAACACATGAATGGGTGGCTTGGTTTTTTTTTTTTTGGGGGGGGTGGTTTGTTTTTAAAAGCTAAGTGGTTTAGGGAGGGTTAGGGGGGAAGAAAGCACATTTTAAAGCTCTAGCTCCGGGGCAAGTAATAAAAATTGTTGCTTTAATGTTGTTGGGTTTTTTTTTTCCCTCGTGATATTGTGAGCCACGGAAGGTCCCTGCTATCACAGCAGCCTGCGGGGCAGAGTTCCAGCCTCCCGAGCTAAATCAAAGTGGCACCGGCTCTCGGTTTTCCAAGCAGCCGGGACAGGTCCCTCCCTGCCTTCCGTGAGGCTAAACCTGACTGACAGCGAAGGAACGAAGTGAGTTTCCACTTATTCTGTGAGCCCCGTGGTCCTCTGGTTGCTCCCCGGGGCCCAGGAGACTCACCCTGCACGGTCGTCCCTGGCTTACGGGGACGGTGTCGGCCGTTTTCTGCGGCAGGAGCTGCGGGTGGTGTCGCGCAGGAGGCCGAAGGCTTCATCCAGGACGCGGCTCGTCCAGGACACGACGTGCTCCGCGCTCGCCACTGGAAGCTCTTCGGCGATGCCAGCGCTTGATGGCACCAGCTTACACTCCCCGAACTGGTTTAGTCTGAACGTGGGTAAAATGAGGGCGCGTGTGCATTTAGGTCAAAGCACCCAAGTCCTCCGGGTGGAACCCAGTAATTTTCAGAATGAAATAATAATCAATTCTCTATGATTCAGTCTTAATCATTCCAGCCCTAAGATCCCACCCTAAATTTCCCCACGATGTCCCCGAGCGATATATACATGCCCCAGAATGTGCACGGAGACCCCATTCTCGAAGATCACACGCTCTCCCGGCAGATACGCCTGTTGTTTCTGGGAGAAACCGCGACTCCAACTGTGTTTTGAGTACTTGACTTTCCTATTTTCCAAGCAGCTCCTATTTGGGAAGGCTGGCCGGGGATTCCAACGGTACCCCGCTCCTAGGTTTAGGGTAAGGACTAGATGGGGCAATAGAAGTAGAAAGATCAAACAGAACAGCGCTCGCCGCATGGTCAGCGCCCCACAAATATCGACCTTTGTTACATTCCACGCCTGAACGACACACGACCTCGTAACCGGCTCTTTGGGGAAAAGTTCGAGAAAGTCGGTGTTTCTCACCAAATACCACTTCTCCCAACAGTCCTGAAGTAACCGAAGTGGGTGACGTTAATTTTATTTTACTTAACACGTTTGGGATTTTGTGTCTGTTAAATGTAGCGTGCAAAAAAATAATCTTGATATGTTTGTAAAACGACTTTTTAAGGGCCATTAGAAAAGTCTCTAAGGCCCTTCCAGCTCCAGGATGTTGTGATCTATAATAACTAATTCCAAATGCATGCAAATTAACGGTGATACAATTCCCCAGATCCCCGGGAGATGTGTGGCGCCGTCGGCTGGGATGCTCTGGGAACACGTCGGAGCCGGCCTGAGCCTCTGCAACGCAGCCTCCACCCTTGCCCCGGTGCCCCAGCAGCCAGCCCCGGTGCCCCAGCAGCCCGCCGTCTATTCTCTGCGTGAGCTCCCAAATGCTCCCAGATGCTCCCAGGTCCTCCGGCGGCAGATGCGGAGAAGAGTGAGCAAGGCGCTGCGACCCCCAGAGAGGACAGTGGGGCTGAGATTCTTCAGAATCCTAGCGAGATGGGCGGGGGGAGCCGAGGCCCACGAAGGCACCTAATCTGGCCTTCAGCCCCATGAACCCTGAAGTCTGCCTCAGGAGGGGCCCCGTCAACCCTCCCTCACCTGGGAGATTGAGAAACTGAGTCCTGGGGGCAGCCTGGGGGGGGGGGGCTCGGCAGTTGGGTGCCGCCTTGGGCCCAGGGTGTGACCCTGGGGTCCCGGGATCGAGTCCCGTGTCGGGCCCCTGCACGGAGCCTGCTTCTCCCTCTGCCTGTGTCTCTGCCTTTCTCTCTCTCTCCCTCTCTCTCCCTCTCTCTGTGTCTCTCATGAATAAATGAATAAAAATCTTAAAAAAAAAAAAAGAAAGAAAAGAAAAGAAACTGAGAGCTGGAGCAGTCAAATGCCGAGTCCAGAGTCATCTGTTTTTTCCGGAACTCGAGTCCAGGGACCAGTCGGGCTGGGGCAGCGGCCCGGGGCCTCAAGGCCATCTCGGCCCAGGGAGCTGCCGAGGGAGCCACCTCTGCACAGACCAACGTGTCGCCCTTGGGGCCCGGGCTCCGCTCAGCGACCCCGTCACCCATGACTGGCACCTGCCGCAGGGAGACAGACGGAGTCATCACAGCCCCGGATGCAAGACACGAAGCCTGCAAGACACGAAGCCTGCAAGCAAGTTGCTCAGGGCAGGGTGGTGTGTTTGTACCCGTGGAGGCACCCCTATCGCCCAGAAGGACGGCGACGCTGTGATGTCCCAGCGGCCCATGGTGGAAGCCAACCCCCGGGACAGAAGGCCTAGGTAGGCTTTACAGGAATCTACCCCCACTGGGAATCGAGGCAGGCGCTTCTGGGGATTATTTTCTTTAAAAAGAGTAGAAGAAAGGTCCTTTGAGGTGAACTCGTCGATGTACGAGGGCGTAAACTCATCACCACTCTGGAAACCACCCAGCAGAGGGAGAGCCGCGGCCCGGGCATGGCCTCCCCTCGGCCTCTGCTCGGCCTCCCCTCGGCCTCCCCTCGGCCTCCGCTTGGCCTCCCCTCGGCCTCCCCTTGGCCTCCTCTCGGCCTCTTCTCGGCCTCCCCTCGGCCTCCCCTCGGCCTCCCCTTGGCCTCCTCTCGGCCTCCTCTCGGCCTCCTCTCGGCCTCCCCTTGGCCTCCCCTCGGCCTCCCCTCAGCTTCTGCTCCACCTGTGCCTCCTCCCCTGCACTCTGCTCCCAGGCACCATTCACTTACTCAACAGGAACTTTTCAGGTGTGCTCCCAAGGCACCTGCTCGTCCCCCCAGTACTTAGGACCCCCGAGTTCCCTTGGTACTTAGGGAGGCCCCCAAGTCCCCTGAGTACTAGGGATGCCCTCCGAGTCTCCTCAGTACTAGGGAGGACCCCCTGAGTCCCCTCAGTGTTTAGGGAGGTCCCCCAAATCCCTGAGGACTTAGGGAGGCCCCTCAAGTCCCCTGGGTACTAGGGACACCCCCCCGAGTCTTCTTGGTAATCAGGGACCCCCATCCCCTCAGTACTTAGGGAGGCCCCTTGAGTCCCCTGGGTACTTAGGGATGCCCCCCATCCTCTCATAACTAGGGACCCCCGTCCTCTCAGTACAAGGGATCCCCCATCCCCCCAGTACTAAGGACCCCCTGTCCCCCCCAGTACTAGGGATACCCACCCTGTGCCCCTAGGGCTAGGGATTCCCCATCCCCCTCATTACCAGGGACCCCCATCCCCTGAGTACTTAGGGCTGCCCCCATCCCCCCCAGTACTTAGGAGGCCCTCTGAGTCCCCTGAGTACTTAGGGACCCCCGTTCCCCCAGTACCAGGGATCCCCCCTCCCCCAGTACTAGGGATCCCCCCTCCCCCAGTACCAGGGCCCCCAGCCCCGCCCCGAGGAGCCAGGAGCGGCCTGGTGCGGAGCGGAGCGGCCCAGCGGGCTCCACCGGAAGCGAAGGCGCAGGGCGGGGAGGGGGAGGGGGAGGGGGAGGCGGCGGGGCGGGGCCGGGCCGGGTGGGCCGGGGGCGCCGCAGGGCCTGGGGGCCGCGCTCTGGGCCCGGGTCCGCGGGGGCGGCTCCTCCGTCCGTCCCGGCCCCCCCCCCGCCTCCCCGCCCGCGAATCCGCGACCTACAGGCCCCCCCGCCCGGGGCTCCGCGGGCCTGCGAGGACGCACCTGCACCTGCGCCTGCGCCTGCACCTGCACCTGCGCCTGCCGGCGGCGGGGGCGGCGGGGGCGGCGGGGGGAGGCGGGCGGGCTGCGGCCCTGCTGGTCCCGGCGGCGGCCACACCCCTGCGCCGCGGGCCGGAGAGCGGAGGAGAGGCGGGGGAGGCCAGGGGGTGCGGAGGGCGGGGGGGGGGGGAGGAGGGCGCGGGGAGGGGGTGCAGGGGGGTGCGGAGGGCAGGGGGGCGGAGGGGGGCGGAAGGGCGCGGAGGGGGGCGGGGGGAGGGAGGGTGCAGGGGGGGCAGAGGGCGCGGGGGGGGGCGGGAAGGCGGGGGAGGGGGGAGGAGGGCGCGGGGAGGGGTGCGGAGGGCGCGGGGGAGGAGGGCACGGGGAGGGGGGAGGGGGGCGTGGGAGGAGGGGGAGGGGGGCGCGGGGGGGGGGAGGAGGGAGGCGGGAGGGGGTGCGGAGGGCTGGGGGGTGGATACAGGGCAGGGACTCCGCCTCCAGGACCCCAGGTGCCCTCCAGCCCCTCCCCCAGGGCCCAGGTGGCCCCAGGGTACAGGTGGACCAGATGGCCCCTCACCTCCAGCGCTGGGGCTCCCGTTGGTAAATGCAGAGTGTCCCGCTGCGCCCGAGCCCCCGATGTTTCAGGAGGGACACGGGGACTGGGAGTCGCCCTCAGCCCCTGGCCCCGGGGGGTGTCCCCGGGGCCCTCTGGGCCGCGGGGAGCCTGGAAGGTGCGCAGCCCAGGTGGGGCGCAGGAGGGAGCGCAGGTGCCGCGCCTTCGGGAGGGGCCCTGCAGGTGCAGGTGGAGGGTGCGGCTGCCGGAGCTTTGGGGACCCTGAAAGCGTTATTGCCCGGTGCAGGCCGCGGGGTGGTTAGGGCCCCAGGGTGGTTAGGGCCACGGGGTGGTTAGGGCCCCAGGGTGGTTAGGGCCCTGGCATGGTTAGGGCCCCAGGGTGGTTAGGGCTGCCAGGTGGTTAGGGACCCAGGGTGGTTAGGGCCGCGGGGTGGTTAGGGCGGGGAGGGGCATCCGCAGGGCAGCAGGCGGCAGGGAGCCGGCCACGCTGTCTGCCCACCTGCACTCACCTCAGCAAGTCGCACGCATTCCTGGTCACAGAGTGGGTGCTCAAGTGTTTTCTACGTTTTATGTTTTGATAAATTTGAATTTCTTCCTTTAACCATACTCTTACCAAATACAGACGGTGAAACAGGGAGCAATTCAGGTCTCCTTTTAACTGAAAAAAAATTATTTTTAATCCAAAAAATAAGAAAAAGAAAAACTAGACACTCACTGGAAGAAAAAAAAAAGTGTAAAGCGTTCAATGTGCCCTTACCTACACAGGCATCGCCGTCGGTTAATAATCTCTCTCAACTTTTACCGACCTTGTTGCCCGTTGAATAAGCCATGACCTCAGAGACCTCGGAGGTCCCGAGTCCCGGCCCTGGGACCCCGGGCCCTGGCGGGCTCACCTTCACGGGGCCGTGTCCCCCTCACCGCACCGCTCTTTGCTCGAGCTGTTGAGGCAAAGGACACGTTTTCACTATTTCCAGTGGGTCGTGGACTGTTATTTTCGTAACAGAACTAAACACTTGCCAGAGGGGCGTCTGGGCGGCTCAACCCATCAAGCGGGGACTCCTGATTCTGCTCAGGTCATGATCTCGGGGTGTGAGACTGGGCCCCCACCCCCAACCCCTCCCTTGGGCTCCCTGCTTGATTCTCTCTCCCTCTCGCCCTCCGCCCCTCCCCTGGGCTCGCTGCCCCCCCCCCATTCTCTCCCTGTCAAATAAATACCTAAAATCTTTTTTAAAAATTGGCTCTCCCCTTACTTGTACAAAAATGTTTCCGGCTGGTTTTGTTTCCCGTGTGCCTCCCACACGTGACGTCCCTGTGTCTGTGTGGCTCTTTGCGACGCTCCCCGTCTGGGTACCCTTACGCCCCCAGTTCTGCTCACGAAGGGACGGCGGGCGCCCGCAGCCCCGGGCTGGCTGCCTTAGGGTCAGGCCCCTGTGTGTCTTGAGCCCGCAGGCCCGGCCACCGGGGACCCCTGGGCCCTCAGGAGGTGCCCAGGACCCTGCCCCGAGTCCTTGGCGCTTGTCGCCCCCGGCGGGTGGGTGGCGCTGCTCACCCGCTACCCAGGAAGAAACTGAGCCACCGAGGGGTCGCTGGTATGACTCCCGTGCAGCACAGTAGCCTTCTGGCCTGCGCCCTGGCTGTGCCCCAACCGGCCAGCGCTTCGCACCCGCAGGCCAACCCCTGCTGCACCACGGCAGCGCTTCCCCCTCCTGGAGGAGAGGGGACTCCTCAGTGGGCCCCCAAACCTGCCGCCCCCAGCAGCAGCCTGGCCCCTTCCCTGCTCCCGGGGTCCCTCCTCTCGGCGAGGGGGCCCCTGGCCTCGAGGAGGTGCGGGTGGCAGCAGCACCCCTCCGTCGGGCGCCGGGCAGGGCCCAGTGAGCTCCTGGGGACCCGAGCTGGGGTGTGAGACACGCAGGGCCGGGGGCTCTGGGAGGGGGACCTAGGCGCAGGACAGGCAGCTGAGGAGGCGGGTAGGGGGGAAGGACAGGAGGAAGTCGGGGGCCTGACAGGTGCGTCGCAGCCCTGGGTGGCCTCGGCCTGGTCCCCACAGGAGCCACACCCTGGCTCAAGCGGGTGAGGCTGGCCCTGGGGGACATGGCCGTGGCTGCGCCTGCCAGCTGCTTGGGTGCGGGGTGGCCACCCAGACCCGGGATGCGGCGGAGGGAAGGGGGCAGAGATGGAGGGAGAGAGGCAACCGCGACAGAGCCCGGGAGGAGGCTGTGCAGGACGCCGAAGCACCGAAGGGCCGAAGGGCCATGGGCAGGGTTCCCGGCACCCCGCGCCTCAAGGGGGTCCCCGGCCTCTGCGCTGGAGGCCCGGGCTGGCTGGCCCGTCGGTCCACGTAGACCATAAGGACGCAGAGACGGCGGGTTCTGACTTGGCCTCGTGGGAGCGGTGATTGGTCATTAACCTCTGCGTTTTCAGCTCTCTTTTCTGCAAAAAAAAGAGAAGCAGCAGCAGCAAAGTTCTGATGATAAGATGAGAAAAGGGAGGGCAAGGTAAGCTGTAGCGCGTGGGGCGGTGGGCGGGCGACAAATACTTCAAAGGTTTAGTGGCAAAGAAAGAGGGACCGAGGCAGGCACCCCTGGGTGTGCGAGAGCGGCCTTCGAACGGGAGCAGCGGATGGGTGACCGCAGTGTCATCTGACCTGAGACGGCCAGAGCGTGGCAGGGGCGCTCCCAATAATGGGGCCAGGACGTCGGGGGCCTGTGCTCCTCGGGGTCCTCAAGGACTTGCCAAGAGCAGACAGGGAAGGAGAGTTCAAGTCCCCAGTTCCGAGATTCAGAACCTCCAAGGTCACATTGTCTCCTTCCAAACACTGACTTGCCTGCAAGGTGTCGTTTATAATTGCCTTTCTCCTGCTTTCCCAAAGAAAAAAATCCCGTCCCATACCCCACACCTCTCCAGAACGCGTTGCCCTGACGGAGAGATGACCCCGAAGCCAAGCTGAGGGACATTTCGACATTTCCTTTGTGACTCCCACGTATCCCGCGAAGATTCATTTCCAATATCTTACACTTATGCTCAATAACTATGTATTGAATGCGTAATATATTTATATTTTAATAAACTAGGTACTCTCAGGATTTAAAATGATTCAATTTGGAGAAAAACAAAGATCACACAGGAAACATTTTTAAAGTTTCTACTCGCATTCCCGCCACCAGCAGGTCAGAGGGCTCCCCTGTCTCCGCGTCCTCGCCAACACCTGCTGATTCTAGCCATCCTGACAAGTGTGGGGTGATATCTCGTGGTGGTTTTGATTTGTGTTTCCTGGGAGATCCCTGATGTTGAGCATCTTTTCATGTTGGCCACCTGGATGTCTTTTCTGGAAAAACGTCTGTTCATGGCTTCCGTCCATTTTTAAATTGGATTATTTGGTTTTGGGGTGTTGAGTTTTATAAGCTCTCTCTCTATATATATATTGGATACTAACCCTTTATCTGATGAGACATTTGCAAATACCTTCTCCCATCTGTAGGTTCCCTTTTAGGCCTGTTGACTGTTTCCTTTGCTGTGCAGAAGCTTTTTATCTTGATGAAGTCCCAATAGTTCATTTTTGCTTTTGTTTCTCCCGCCTCAGGAGACAAAGCTAGTAAGAAGTTGCTAAGGCCAGTGTCGAAGGGATTACCGCCTGTGCTCTCCTCAAGGATTTTCATGGTTTCCTGTCTCACATTTAGGTCTTTAATCCATTTTGAGTTTATCTTTGTATATGGTGTCAGAAAGTGGTCCAGTTTGGCTCTTTTGTGTGTTGCTGCCCAGTTTTCCCAACACCATTTGTTGAAGACGTTGTCTTTTTCCCATTGCCCATTCTTTCCTACTTTGTTGAAGATTAATTGATCCTATACTTGTGGGTTCGTGTCTGGGTTTCCCATTCCATTCCACTGATCTGTGTCTATTGTTGTGCCAGTACCATACTGTTTTGGTCACTACAGCTTTGTAATATAAGTTGAGGTCCAGGCTGTGACCCCTCCAGCTTTGCTTTGCTTTTTCAAAGCTGCTTTGGCTATTTTGGGTCTTTTGTGGCTCCATACAAATTTTAGGATTGTTTGTTCTAGCTCTATAACAAGCAGAAAATTTTTAAAGTTAAACTTACACATGTATTTTTTTTTTATTGTGGAGAAAAAGTATGATAGTGCAATCAACAGAACACTTGGGAGCATAAAAACCAGGGGGATAAAATTCTGGATGAGGGTCATTAGGATGGAAAACAACTTTATGAAAGGAAAGGAACAATCCAAAATTTTTGACTATTAAAAAAGAGTTTATCAAGAATTTTTTTTTAACAGGTGATGGTTAGTGCCCAGCCATTATAGAACTTAAATTCCACTGGATATATTTAGAAGAGTGATATGGGCGCCTGGGTGGCTCAGTCAGTTGGGCGTCCCACTCTTGATTTGTGTCAGGTCATGATCTCGGGGTCGTGAGACGGAGCCCACATGGGGCTCTGCACTGCACATGGAACCTGCTTAAGATTCTCTCTCT